ACCCAAGTAGAAAATAAGCATCACAAACACTGCAGTCTAAAAGGTAAGGGCATAACGCATAAGTGCAGCATATAAAAAGCACTTCTGCATACATAATCTTCCTGAGTCGTTATATCCACTATTCTGCTTTTATTTTTATTTTTTACCAACCAAAAGAAGGAAAACACAGTCTGACATTTAAGGTTTACAAGCTTGAAACTACTGTAATGTACACAAACCGGAGCACTGTGACATGCGAACAAGAGATGAATCCCTATGCCAATCATTGTGAATTGAAATTTATTAGAATCCCTGTCTCACACTGAGCAACTGACAGTGAGTAAGTCATATATTTACATAATATGGAAATGCCATCCCTGAACTCCAATCCAGTTTTGTGTAATAACAAAAGCGGTGTATTTTCCCATGGAGACAAAATTCCCAAGGGAAATGACATTACAAAACATAAAATACAATCTTAAACATGTACAATATTAAGTTGAGTATATAAGTACAGAGTAACCTAATTACAGACAAAAAGATTTTTTTTTTTTTTTTTTTTGGGGATGGGGGTGGAAAGGAATGAAAGACCAGCAGCAGACATCTAAATCATTGAAAAAGAAAAAAGAAAAACAGCTATTTAGTAAGTTTATAAAGATAGGTCATAGATTCCTTACCAACTTCAGGTATTTGTGGTAGACATCAGTTAAATTTTGTCTCCTCCATTATTGCTGATCAAACACATTCATCCTGAATTCCTATGTACATGCCTTGGCATCAAATCTCTGCCACCATTGGGTCTGAGAAGTTGATACACAAATCCATCCTACGGAATGAAGGCTCACCTTCCTGACAGGTCTCCACTGCTGCATTTACTTTACTCTTCATGTCAAAACTCCAAAGTATGGATAGATCGCTTAGCACAATTACTTCATGGCCAAGGAGCACAATTTTATTAAGCAGGGGAAAAACATCTGGCAGATAGAAGCGAAGGTGGTTCAGTGCAGAAATGTATCTCGGATCAGAGGAGGTTTGCTTCTGCAGTGTCACTTCATACTTGGCTGACAACCATTCAAAAGTGTCTATGCTCTGGATCTGGATTGTGGCTTCGTCAGGATTATTTAATAAGAGCCACATTGAGATTGTTGGGAGATTAAGAGAATCAGTCACTATATGGAAGACAATTCTCTCTGATTCCTGCAAGTGGTCAAGCTAGCATAATTTACTATTCAGTCGTTCTGTCATCATAAACTAACATAGTGTTTCCTATTCTAAATAAGAATATATCTTTGGTCCAATCAATCCATCAACTGAATATTGATTAATCGTGCTATAGGGTGATGAAATGTTGCCCTATGGGGATAAAAAGACCTGGGACAGTCAAAAAAGTTGAGACTTAATTGTAACACATTCACAGTTCACAGATATACCCGAGAAAAAGAGAGCCACCTTCTCTTGAAATTCCAAAATGTCAGTTTGCCTCCTAAGGCGCCTCCACTTCAACTTACTCATCAACGCACTTCTTAACAATTGCAAAAAAGGAACCCTTTTCTTGGGGGTCCTTAGAATTAGAAACTGACTGGCCATAAAAGCATAAATACATGACCCTATCTCACAACCATATCCGGTCAATAAGCAACAAAGACAACAGGAAATGGTCATAACAGTCATACTTGGACAGTTATACAATAGAGCCCAGTCCAGACGTGCATAATGTCCAAGAAGTTGACACACTCCCCAGAACATCTTTCCCTCTATCTGTCCGTATATTGTAGCTAGGCTGAACTTCTTCAATGTCAAATCAACACGTGCTGGCTGTAGGTGAACAATACAATAAGTACATGGGCATGATCAGAAATTTTCCAATGGATTCCTAGCGCATCACACATTTCTTGAAGAAATTTCATAAATGATGGACGATGAAAGTCTCCACTCCAATGTGGTCTCCAACAAAGACAGACGTGCAAGTCAACTACATTTCAAGCTAAACATTCTTAGGTACTATAGTCCTACATATTAAAGGTAGTTTTCTAAACCATCTTCTCCCTAGAATATGCATATCATATTATCCACCTTTCTTAAGAACACAACATACAGAAGTAGTATCAACAGGAACGAATGTGTAATATGTACTATCCAAGACATGCAGTGCCACACAAGGTTCAGCCAGCTTACCATCACGGTAGAAATAGTTGAGTTCACAACCACCACACAGGCCAAAACATTGTCGGAAAATACAGCAAAGTGATTGAGATCCGGATCATGCAGTTTGTGTTGGTTGGAAAAAACCCGATCTTCAGGTTGCAGGGCAAAAATATTGAGCAGTTAACAGCATGGAGAGGCAGTGAAGAACTTTTGGAGTAGTCCTTCCAGCAAGCTGAACAAAAAATATTGCTCAATTCTTTTGTGTCCGGACCTGTTCTTCAGCCTTGTAAGTCATAGCCCAAAGCTTTTTGGCCATGGGAAAGCAGTCAGGATAAATACGACTGGCTTTTAACAAGGAGGCCTCCACAGCTCTCATCTTCTGCATAGCACTGAAAGATTTACAGTTCTTCAAATCAGAAATTCATTTATTTAACTTTGAAGGGGCTACCTATGGTAATTGGTAATCAATTATCCAAATGCACTTTAACTTTTTTTTTTAAAAGAGAATTTATTTATTAACAAAACAAACTTACAAGAAGCAAAACAAGGCACATACGCCTGAACATAACACACAAGATAAAAGGCACCAATGCCTTAACAAAAGAACCAAGACAAAAGAGGCACAAACACCTATCAGAGCAAACAAAACACAACTAAAAAAACCAAACAAAACTTGCTCCCAATACAGAGATTTCAAATCAGCCACTCTCTTAAACTCTGAAGGAAAAATGCACTTTAACTTACAGCAGATTTTTCTGTAATATCATGTGCATGAATTAATCACAATAGTCAAAGGTGCTTTTAGCAGTTATTTGACAAAGTGCTAACACTTGTGTCCACTACACAAGTGATTGAGGACTTGTTACTCTGACAAGGAGGATGGGGTGACTGGAGATCAATGTTATTGGTAACCTTCCCCTATGAAACAATGAAACATGTAACTTTCGTTTGTATTTACCAAATGCAAAAAATCATATCGTTTTGGTTTATAACCCCATGTCCATTAAAATGGAGTTTTGTTTAGCTGGGGCCAAACCAAACCCAGCAATGTCACTTTTACTCCTCCTAAATAAAAGCTTGTCGAATTTCAACTCATTTGCTTGATTACCCCGTTGATGGAAAATAAGATGCCGAATAATCAGAAAACTAAAAGAATTTTTTACCTCTTAGACAAATCAGAGTCCTTGGTGGATTCCCCCACAGCTCGTTCCAGTTCTTTTATTCGTAGTTTCAACTCTTTTACAAATTGGAGTTGTTATTTAGTGGTGCAAAACTCACATATGCTTTGGCCCTAATCACCTGATCTTTCATCTCCTTCACCTTCTCATTTAGTAATCTCTGTGATAGGACTCTACATTCTGATCATGTTGCCAAACAAAAAATAATGCAGATTGCAAAATATAAAAGCCAACACAATGTAGTATTCCATTTAAAGTGTTATTGGACCACAAAAAGAGAAACAGAATTATTAGATAGAAAGGAAGAAAAGAAAAATAAAATTTAAATAAGAAAATGATAGCATTGCACTTTTCCTAAAAGAATTTATGTTATTATAATTCATATTACAGCCATAAAGTGTTAAAAGATGAAAAATTATAATTTTGTTAATTCAATAATTCCCCCATTTCTTTGTTCATTCTAACAGAGAAACTCATCAACCTACATTCACAATGTTTTTACTGACGATGAAATGCAAAACTATCTTACTCTCTCTTATCTGTTTTTAAAAAAGGGTCAATTCAAATTCCTAAGAATTTCAATCAGTGAGCACAAATAAAAAAAAATTAATCAAGGAAAAAAGTTAATAAGATTATCACATAGCAATGCCACTTGCTAGTTTGATTACCATATTTCTAGATTGGTAGTTATAGTAAATATGTTTATTTTAGATCAAAGTTCATGTCAAAATCTTATAAAGTTGAGGCTTGAGCTAAGCCAGATTATGAAGAATCATACCTTTCCCCCAGATGTGGATAATACTTTCTCCAGCTGATTCTGCTGCTTATCTTCTTCTGTATCATGATTGATTACTGAGCTTGAGATGAGGGGAAAAAAAAAACTGAAACTGTGGACTTAAAATCTCTATCTTTATACAAGAGTAGAGGTAGTAGTAAATCTTTCTTGCAAAACCCAAATAAAAACAGTAAACTTAGATCACCAATTCCATTGCACCAAGTTTCTGGACACCTGTCCTGTGTTTCTGTTTAGAAACAAAAAGGAGATCTTTAATTTTTGTGGGACAAACAGATCGATTGAGCTGCAGAGAAAATCTCGGAGAAGGAATTAAGGATTAGAATTTATATCATAAAAAAATGAGCCTTTTCTCATCATTTGGGATGGACCCTCAAAAAGCAATAGAATAAGGGATTCATAAAATAGCCTATAAATCTTCAATATTCTCTCTTGATTCTGTAAGAAAAAAGATCCATAAACAATCAAACACGTACGCAAATCAGAAAAAACCCTAAAATTTAACGAATAAAGAATTCAGCATAATATGAACCTTATGCGCGCGCGCGCACACACACACGTAATATCTTATTACTGGCATAATGGAGGTATTTAAGCCTGCCGGAGAGCAAACTAATTGGAATGAAAACAGAGACAGTGAGCAAAACGAGGATGAATATTCTCGTGCATAGACAAAATCTCTTCTTCAATATCAATCTTTGTAGATTAATCTAAACTCGTTATTAATATTACTATGACTTCTGAACATCTGTATTGATATACGATCAATAATTCGATATTGCTACAAAAAAGAACTAGGATTTCTCTGGCTTTCGCTTGAGATACAGTTGCTTTTAGAGAGAGAATGAAAGACGCGAGGAAGGCGAGAGAGGTGCCAATGCCATGTTCGTGACCGGAAGGAAGGATATTATTTTTTGTTTTTGCTGGTTTTTTGCATGGAGACTTGAAATGCGAGAAGGGAGGGGACGGTGATTATGACATGATGTGTATGATCGCCAATGAAGAGTCATGGTCATTAGCCATAATAATGTGCATGAGATACATATCAGCCTGGACCCACCGCGTGGCGAGACTTCAATGGCATGGCAGGTACGGCATAGTAGTTTTTGGGATGGGTCCCAATTATAATTTTCGCGTACCGTTACTTTTATTTTCTACTAATAAAAAATTTGATTCGGGTAAAATAATATCATTTCATTTTGTTATTTTATTTTATTGTTTTTAAAATTAATGGTTAGAAACCAGCTAGATTTCATCCGCATCATATGCAAATAGTCCTATTTTTCAAAGACACCCCCTTACATTATTTAAAATCTCACTTGCATCCCTGTCAAAATTTATCATGTGACAAAAGTAGTGTTTTTATTTTTGTATATAACATATCGTGTGTTACTATTTGTGTATATATATAAAGAGAAATAGACCATATTGTTGCCCCCGCCTCTATTGTAAATATTGTTACCCACGTTGTCTCCTGATCATATCAACTCATTGCTAATTACACCTATCATCAAACCTAAAAATCATTTTGAAACACTTCTTTTACCATTGTTGTCGCCGAAAGAGAGTTTCGTAGTAACACAAAGGAGTAAAAACACAAAAGAAAAACGGCGGGAGACAAAAGATTCGAGAGCACTAATGCTCTATTTGATAAGAATGATACAATAAAGTCGAGTTGTATTGTGTCAGATTCGTATTGAGTCATTACGAGTTTGTATCGAATATTAGTCAAACCTAACTTAATTCATTTAATTAATTATGTCGTATCGAGTTACGAATTGACCTATTTATTTTTGTATCGAGTTCGAACTGTGTCATCGTGTTGAGTCGAAAATTTTCACCTTTAGTTAAGATGGATAAAATATTTTTTTTAACTTAAAATTTTTATTATTTATTATTTTTTTATTTTAAATTTTTATTTTTTAAAAAATTAATTTTTAAAATATATATAAATATTTTACCATTATATTTTTATATGAAATTAATGTATATATAAGATATGGACAAATAAGATACATATCAATAATAATTAACTTTTTTTCCACTTTTCGTCCGATTTTGGAGGAATTAATTTTGGTGAGTTAGAAGGAAAATTAATCCATCCACTTTTACATCCTTCCTTCTTTTCTTTCTTACCAAACATGATATTTTATTTATCGCTCCAATTTTTTATTCTCCCACTTTTTCTATTGTACCAAACGGAGCATAAGGGTGGGTGGTGGGGAGATAGGGCAACGACATGGTCCTTGTCATTCAACTATATAATAAAAAAAATAAACTAGAGGGAGAAGGTCAGACATCTTTCCCTCTCATTTCTTAAATTTTTAGAGTTTTTTCCAATTATATTCTACCACTTGCCTTTTTAAATCAACTCTCAACTCTTCACTAACTATTTTTACCCTAAATATTTTTAATGGAACTCAAATATTTTTTGTTCACCCACTCAAATGACACCCTTATGAAAATTACTATGACTAATTCTAATCAGTAATGTTATATTCACACAATTTATGCACGAATTTTATGTACATGACGTGACTTATTTTGTTTAGAATTGTAAAATTTGGTGTCGAGCTTGTGTATTGTGTAGGAAAAAGGACTCTAAGCTATTCTCCTTTTACCTTAGTGGGGGTGATCGTAGAGAGATTAAGAAAGATTATTGACGAGAGTGAGAAGAAAGTATTTGATTTAGAAAAAGTTCAAGTTCAATAGCTAGTCGTAGATTAATTTCTTTTAATCGGGTTAACCCATTATCTTCTTTCTTCTGTCCGCTCTAAATTATATTACAATTTTATTTAATTTATTTATAGCTATGTATAATTAAATTTTTAAATGTAATCAGACGCCTTTAACAAGATTTGTATAATCTTCTTTTTACGGAGGTCCCTTGATCATCAAAATTTACTAAATTGCATTATATCCCTTTAATTTTATGTTGTTGCAGGGGTTACGTCCATACTTGCTGGCTCTGACTCTCAAATTCTTATTTTATATTATTTTCTTATTTTAAAATAAAAAATTTTAACATATCAAAATAAAAATTCACTAAAATCTAAGGGTATAAATTATAATTTATCCTAATATATTTTATGCAGAAGAGACGGTGAAATCAATGATCGAGGTTATTGGGTCTCAGTCTAAAACATGCAATACTCTCCGTAAAATACTCCATTTTCTGTCTCATTCCAAACCTTTATCTCCACCATTTCCATCTATAACTACCACACTCCACTACCCGCCACTCGAGCCACTGCAAGTAATATCTTTAAACCCATATTTACGTTCCATCGATGGCCCCTCCACGTTCTTTTTCCAAACTCAAGCTTTCACTTTTTCTAACCTATTCCAATAGCCAATTACAACCCATGTCAATACTTCACCTTTTACCACAAACTTTTTGGGGAT